GGTAGGTGAAGACCCTGCTTAATGGGCAGAGCAGTGTCAAATGTCAAGAACCTGCCACTTCACAGCTGAAACAGTTGAAGTTAGACTTCCGGTATATATCCTGTTGTACTGCGGTAATGAAGGCCTGCGCTGTCGAGATGGGCCCACACAAGTCTATGCAGGTGGAAAGGCACTGAAAGTCCATGGATCCCTTATGCCTGTGCCTAGGCAAAGGAGCTGTGCCTGCCCTGGGTTCCTGGCTTAGGGGAACCGGCAGTTTATTTTTTCCCGTTTGTTTATTTGTTCACTCTCCAAGGCAGGGAGAATGGCTCTGGGCGTGTGAGGGATCCTACTTCTGGCCCAGGGGACTCGGCAATTGCTGAAGCCGGTCCGGGACCCAGTGCAGAGCAGGGAGCGGGGAGGTAAATGGGAGAGAGGTTTTTCCCTAACGGGGGTGTTTCTGATCTGCGTGGTAGGCCGTACGCAATTACTTATCTTTCACCTGATGGAGGGCTGCTTCTCACTGGTTCTGGGTAGCCGTGTAGACTCTCTGCCACTGAGTCTCTCCTGGTGAGGAAAACGTGCCTCCCGAGCACCACTGCTTGTCTGCCTTACCGCTCACCCACGAGCCGCTCAGGCCTGAAGGGCTCAGGCTCTTGCCAGGTCGGGTCTGGCAATTCCTCGTGGCTTCCGAACCATCTCTCCCTCCCCCTGCCAGTCAGTCCGGTTCCTTAACTCTGCCTTTGATGTTCAGGGCTCCCAGATTGCCATATATAATTGAATCACTTGTTTTTTTTGGGTCTTTGTCGTAAGAGGGTCCACTGGAAGTCTCTGACTACTCCGCCATCTTGGCCCTGCCTCCCCCGGGAAGCCTACCTTGGATTCCATACAGCCGGTTCAGACGTGACCGCCGGGCTTCGTCGGTGTAGGGGACAGCAAGCCAGGGCATCTCACTGAAGTACTGCTTGAAGGACTCCTCTGACCTACAGAGACAGACACCCAGAGAACAAGGCCCTTTCACCCCCACTGCACCCCCAGTGGGTCCCACCACCTTCCACTCAACTGTGTGCAGGCCTCTATGGATGCTGGGATTTCTAATGATCCCGCTTCTCAGACCCCAGGCGATGGGAGTGCACTATTCCACCCATTCTGGTTTTTGTCAAGAAGCAAACACCTCCACACAACAGGGGGCTCTCAAACTGAAATGCCGAGCCATTTCCACAGCACTCTCTCCCGCATCCCACCAACTGAACTCATGTTCCGCTTTTCATTTTTCAACTTGGGCAGGCCTTCCTTTTATAAGAAGCCTAGATGTACACAAAGATACCACTTTCCCTGTGATACTTCTGATCTATACACCTAACAATGAGGTGTGCAGGACCACACATTTATACCAAGCATAAACTGATACCACTTGTAAGAAACTCTTAAGAAAGACAAATCTAATCTAGTGATAAAAAGCAGATCAGTAGTTGCCTGGAATTTGGGGGTAGGGAGTGACCAAGAAGGGGTACAGTGGAATCTTTTGGTGATGGGAATGTTCTGTATCTTAATTGTGGTGATGGTTACAGGTATGTGTGTGTGGGGTGTGTGTGTGTGTGTGTGAGTGTATGCATATGTACATATGTCAAACCTCATGGAACTGTACACCTAAAACTTATGCATTTTACTATATGTAAATTATGCCTCAATAAAGTTGACTTAAAAAGAAAAAAACTTAAAAAAGAGGCTGCTCCACCCAGCAGGCCTTCATGCTTACCCACTCTCGCATACACCGAGATGGCATAGCTGTGGAGCAGTGAATCAAGACCACAGGCCCACAAACAGAGCCCGGGACAAAGTGCAGACGTCAAGAACACAACAACGCACAAAATGCCCTCACTCTGTTGACATCTTAGAGACCCTTCTGTGACCAGAGGCAGAGTCATAAGCGCCTGGTGACGGGTATGAACTGGGGCTGGAGTTTTGAGATGAAGGAAGCTCACAGATGAGCAAAACCAGTGAGAAGGTGAACGTCAGAGGAAACTGAGGCTGAAAGGACCTGACTTACTCCAAGACGAATTTCCACCCTTTTTGTTTTTGTGCTCCCTCATCCACGTGCAATCAATCAAGCAGCCCCCAGACAAATACTGGCCATAGCTAAGAAAAAAGGGTTGTATATCCAATCCAAAAACCAAAACCAAACCAAACTCACTGCTGTTGAGTCAATTCCGACTCATAGGGACTCTGTAGGACAGAGCAGAACTGCCCTATAGGGTTTCCAAGGAGTGCCTGGTGGATTCGAACTGCCTGTCTTTTGGTTAGCAGCTGAACTCTTAACCACTACGCCACCAGGGTATCCAATCCAAGACAGGCGTCATAATCCACTCATCTCTGGCTTTTTTCCATCCTCCCCACCTCTACGTACTTTTATCACCATCCAAAAAGCTGAACACATCAGAAAAATGCATCCTAATCCCAAACACCCCAGGACATACCCCAGTATCTATAGCAAGGGCAGGTTTCTCTTGGCTTCCCTTCAGAAAATGACATGAGTGCGTGTGAAATGTACCAGTCCCTCTGCACATAACCCCAGATGTCTTCGCCCACCCCATCTCCAAGCCCTGCAATAAAGATGCAAGAAGTGGGAGGAGAAAGAAATGGATGTCAATCACTGACAGAAAAGACAAGTCGTCCTTGCTGGCTTTACCAGCATACTTTACCTGTCTGCACTCACAAAGATGATCTCAAATTTCTGGCCTGCCTCCTTGATCTTCCGGTAGGATTCCACCAGCACCCGGGTGAGGCTTCGGCAAGGGGGACACTGAAAGACAAGAGTAGGACCCTGCTGCGTTAAGCACCTTCTACTCCCCCTTTCCTAGCCATTCGCCATTAGAGACTAGGTGAGCAAGACTCAAGTAGGATGGGACAGCAAAACCCAGCTTACAAAAGAGGGAGAAACAAACCTTTCTGTCTTAGGCAAGCATCCAGCACAGGTTCCTTCCTACCCCAGGCAGCTTGCCACGAGGCAGCTGCTAAAATGAAGCCCCTTAGGGACCATTAGAAGCTTTATCAGAAGGGGTTAGGGGAAATATCCTTTAGGCTAGTCAAAAAAAATAATTTTCCTACTACTGTTACCATTGAGGCCCACAATGCATTGGGCATAGAAGGTAATTACACCAGCACTCAGGCCCGGAAATTCCATCCCAGGCAGTCACACCTCCAGAAGCTGACCACAGCCGGTCTTAGTGACAACATCACTGCTTCTGTTGGTCTGAATGCAAAAGGGACCCAACACTCACCCAGTGTGCAGAGAAATAGACTCCCACGTGAGACCCTTCCAGGTTGCTGCTCTCCAGGGACTGCCCGTTGTTTCTAAGCAAAGGCCCTGCAATGACTTCTCTGAAGGGTTTAGGTCCCCAAGGGAATTCCAGACCTGAAACAGGTGACAGATGGTGAGAATGTTAAGATACTTCATCATGGTCTCTGACCCTGGGGACCTCAGAGCTGTGGGGCATGCATGGTAGCTTAATCCTCAGATGGTATTTGTCAGCACATCTATTTAGCACAGTATTAGCACAGAATCTTTGGCTAAAACAAAGGGATACTAGCAGAACTCATACATAGCAGAGGCCTACCGACCCTCAAGGCCATTCCTCCCAACTCTGGATGATCATAGTGTGTTCATCTCCTGGGGAGCTTTTGTAAAGTACAGATGCCCAGGATGTGCCCTGCGTCTTAGGCTCCAGGGTGCAGGGACAAGCCTGAGGAAAACAGTTCGGTGGTTCCTCAAAAAGTTAAACACAAAATTACCATACGATCTCACATTTCCACTCCTGGGTATACACCCAAATGAAGTGAAAATCGGGACTCAAACAGATACTTGTACACCAATGTATATATTGCCTCACTATTCAGAACAGTCAAAAAGGTAGAAACAACCCAAGTGTCCATCAACATATGAATGGAGAAACAAAATGTAGTTGTGGTGAAATGAGTTCATTTATGTGGCCTAAGCCCTGAGGAGTTACCTTTGCCAGAGGGTTTGTTACTTTTGTTCAGGTTGATTGACATTTCCTGGTCAAACTATAAACAACTTGATGGCTTGATACTTTTTGTCTGGCCCTAAGCTGCAGCCTGCCCTGTGATTGGTCTATTTTACACACCTTGCAGGGATTGGTCAATATACTTATGCAAATGAAGTGACTAAAGCATACCATGCAAATGAAGTGCTGTGGCCTACCAAGAGGGGATTGGTCAACCCATGGCCCTGTTAGGAGGGCCATGTATTGAAATTGACAAGGAGTTTGTGTATATATGCAGACAATCCCACAGAGAAGGAAAGAAGCAGAAAGGAGATGAGACAAGAACAGAGAAGACAGAAGAAGCAGTGAGAGAGAGAAGGCAAGGAACCTCCTAAAAGAGCTGTAACACGGGTCAAGGGCTATATCACTGAAGACAATGAGAGGCCTGGAAGAAGCCCTATGGCAGTCGGTGGTGACAGGCCTGGAAAGTCAATGGTGATGGCAGAAACCTGATGCCAGGAATGCAGCTAAGGGAGCTAAACAAAGCTGTTACACTGGCTATGAGTTAGGTCAGTTAGCTGTGGAGAGGCTGACAGTAGGGAGGCTGAAGACAAGAAGGCCTGTCCTGAGGTGGCTGAGAGGAAGCCTGTTTTTTTGTTTGTGTGTGTGATTTAGGTGAAAGTTTACAGCTTAAGTTAATTTCTTATACAAAAATTTATACACATATTGTTTTATGACATTAGTTGCAATCTCCACAATGTGACAGCACCCTCCCCCGTTCCACCCTGGGTTCCCTGTGTCCATTCAACCAGTTCCTGTCCCTTCCTACCTTCTCATTCCGCCTCCGGACAGGAGCCGCCCATTTGGTCCTGTGAATCTGACTGAACTAAGAAGCACACTCCTCACGTGTATTATTTTTTATTTTATAGTCCTGTTTAATCTCTGTCCGAAGAGTGGGCTTTGGGAATGGTTTCAATTCTGGGTTAACAGAGCATCAGGGGCTCCTCCAGTCTCTGTTAGACCATTAAGTTTGGTCTTTTTATGTGAATTTGAGTTCTGCTCCACACTTTTCTCCTGCTCCATCTGGGATTCTCTGTTGTGTTCCCTGTCAGGGCAGTCATTGGTGGCAGCTGGGAACCATCTAGTTCTTCCGGTCTCAGGCTGATGGAGTTTCTGGTTTATGTGGACCTTTAGTCTCTTGGGCTAATATTTTCCTTGTGTCTTTGGTGTTCTTCATTCTCCTTTGCTCCAAGTGGGATAGGACCAATTGATGGATCTTAGATGGCTGCTCGCTAGCTTTTAAGACCCCAGATGCCACTCACCAAAGTGGGATGCAGAACATTTTCTTAATAAACTTTGTTATGCCAATTGACCTAGACATCCCCGAAACTATGGTCTCCAGGCCCCAGCCCCAGCTACTCTGCCCCTCAAAGTGTTTGGATGTGTCCAAGAAACTTCTTAGCTTTTGCTTTGGTCTAGTTGTGCTGACTTCCCCTGTATTTTGTGTCATCCTTCCCTTCACTGAAGTTGATCCTTGTCTACTATCTAGTTAGTGAACTCCCTTCACCCTCCTTCGCTACACTCATAACCATCAAAGAATGCTTTTTTCTGGTTTAAATCTTTTCTTGAGTTCTTATCATAGTGGTCTCATACAATATTTGTCCTTTTGTGACTGACTAATTTCACTCAGCATAATGCCCTCCAGATTCACCTATGTTGTGAAATGTTTCAGGAATTCATTTGTTCTTTATCGTTGCGTAGTATTCCATTGTGTGTATGTACCATAATTTGTTTATCCATTTGTCTGTCATTGGGCACCTAGGTTGTTTCCATCTTTTTGCTATTGTGAACAATGCTGCAATGAACATGGGTATGCATAAATCTATTTGTGTGCGGCTCTTATTTCTCTAGGATATATTTCTAGGAGTGGGATTGCTGGATCATATGGTACTGCTATTTCTAGCTTTTTAAGGAAGCGCCAAATTGATTTCCAAAGTGGTTGTATCATTTTACATTCTCACCAGCAGTGCATAAGTATTCCAGTCTCTCCACAACCTCTCCAACATTTATTATTTTGTGTGTTTTGGATTAATGCCAGTCTTGTTGGGATAAGATGGTATCTCATTGTAGTTCTGATTTGCATTTCTCTAATGGCTAATGATTGTAAGCATTTTCTCATGTGTCTGTTAGCCGCCTGAATGTCTTCTTTGGTGACGTGTCTGTTCATAGCCTTTGCCCACTTTTTAATTGGGTTATTTGTCTTTTTGTTGTTGAGGTTTTGCAGTATCTTGTAGATTTTAGAGATCAGACCCTGATCGGATATGTCGTAGCCAAAAATTTTTTCCCAGTCTGTAGGTTGTCTTTTTACTCTTTTGGTGAAGTCTTTTGATGAGCGTGTTTGATTTTTAGGAGCCCCCAGTTATCTAGTTTTTCTTCTGGTGTTTCTACATTGTTACTTATGGTTTGTATTCTGTTTATGCCATGTGTTGGGGCTCCTAGTGTTGTCCCTATTTTTTCTTCCATGATCTTTAATGTTTTCAATTTTATATTTAGGTCTTTGATCCATTTTGAGTTAGTTTTTGTCCACAGTGTGAGGTATGGGTCTTGTCTCATTTTTTTGCAGATGCATAACCAGTTATGCCAACACCATTTGTTAAAGAGACTGTCTTTTCCCCATTTAACGGACTTTAGGCCTTTGTCAAATATCAGCTGCTCATAGGTGGATGAATTTACGTCTGGGCTCTCAATTCTGTTCCACTGGTCTTTATATCTGTTGTTGTACCAATACCAGGCTGTTTTGACTACTATGGTGGTATAACAGGTTCTAAAATCAGGTAGTGTAAGGCCTCCCACTTTATTCTTCTTCAGTAATGCTTTACTTATCCAGGGCATGTTCCCTTTCCATATGAAGTTGGTGATTTGTTTCTCCATCTTGTTAAAAAATCCCATTAGAATCTGGATCAGGATTGCATTGTATCTGTAGATTGCTTTGGGTAGAAATGACATTTTCACAATGTTGAGTCTTCCTATCCATGAGCAAGGTATGTTTTTCCACTTACACAGGTCTCTTGTGGTTCCTTACAGTACTGTTTTGTAGGTTTCTTTGTATAGGTCTTTTATGTCTCTGGTTAGGTTTATTCCTAAGTACTTTATCTTCTTGCGGGCTAAATGGTATTGATTTGGTGATCTCCTTTTTGAAGTTCTCTTTGTTGGTGCAGAGGAATCCAACTGATTTTTGCATGTTTATCTTGTATCCTGAAACTTTGCTGAAATCTTCTATTAGTTCCAGTAGTTTTCTTGTGGATTCTTTGGGGTTTTCTGTGTATAAGATCATATCATCTGCAAATAGGGTACTTTCACTTCTTCTTTACCACTCTGGATGCCCTTTATTTCTTTTTCTTGCCTTACTGCTCTGGCTAGGACCTCCAGCACAATGTTGAATAAGAACAGTGATAAAGGCATCCTTGTCTGGTTCCCGTTCTCAAGAGGAATGCTTTCAGACTCCCGAGGAGGCCTGTCTTGAAGGGCTGAGAGAAGCGCCTGCTTGCCTGCATGTCAAAGAGGAGCTGAGACAGCTCTCCTGCACTGAAGAAGGGAGGGACGTGCTCTCCATCTTGGGGGAGCCTTCCAGACTTTGCCTACATGCTTCCTGATCCTGAGTTGTAGCCTCTTGATCCTGATCCCGAGTTGTACCCTGTTACTTCCTTAATAAACCACTTAACTATAAGTATGGTCTGAGAGTTCCATGTGGCTATTGCAATGGATTACTGAACCCAGCAGAGAAGTAGAGAGTGCCTTGGGGAGGACGGTAGTGTCAGAATTGGTAAAGAAGTCAGAGAGTGGAAGTATGTCTGACCTTCACCTCATAGGAAATCAGCTTTGTGCTGATGGTGATTCTCCTCATGAAGTTACAGGACTTCAGGAACTACTAGACCCTTACAGTGGCATATTCATACAATGGAATATTACTGAGCCATTAAAAGGAATGAAGTTCTGATATATGCTACAACATGAATCTTGAAAATATCATTAAGTGAAACAAGCCAGACACTAAAGGATAAATATAGTATGATCCCACTTACATGAGGTTTCTAGAACAGACAAATTCATAGAGACAGAAAGTAGAATAGAGGTTATTAGGGGCTGGGGGAGGCAGGGAAAGGGAGTAACTGCTTAGTGGGTATGGGGTTTTCTTCTGGGGAGATGAAAATGTTTTTGGTACTAAACAGAGGTGGTGTTTGCAGAACATTGTGAACATATTAAACACCACGGAATTTTTCCCCTTTAAAATGGCTAATTTTATGTTATGTGAATATCATCTCCTAAACAAACAAACAAAAAAAAAAACCTTCCCAGGTAACTCTGATGATGGGCCACGTTCAAGAATCATAGCCTTGGGTACTCACCATGAGTTTATCAATTCCAGCCCTGGAAACTCAGTGGTTCCCATCTCTGAATGCCTTTTAGAATCAGCTGGGGAAATTTAAAATATGATGCCTGGGCTGATATTCTGATTCAGACATTCTGATTCAGTTGGTCTGGATTGGGGCTCAGGGAACTAAGAAAGAATTTAAGATTAATAAAAATCCACCCAACCCAGATGGTCAACATTCTGATGACACGTAAGCCCCAGGCAGAAGAGTAAATAACATGCTCCCAGCTCACAGGGTGGTCCACGGACCCTTGCCTCAAAATCGCCTGGGGAAGGGGTGGAGGGAGAGAGGCACAGATGGGTTAAAAATGTAGGTGGCCACACCCACCCTGAAATAACTGAAGTCAAACTCTCTGGCGGTTAGGCCAGGGAACCTGCATTTTTAACATGTTCAGAGTAAAGTGTTCTCTGTGTGTGTTTAAATTTGAGAAGAAAAAGACTTGGTTCCACCATGCCTCGGTCGTTTACTGAGGGCAAATCTTTGAAGCAGCGTGAAATTTTTACTGCAAAAAGTTTTGGCCAGAGCTGAATCCTCTAATTGGAACAATAAGTAAAAGAGGGGAGATCTTATAACCTTTTTATCACTCCAGTGCAAGGGGAAAAGCACAGATGGTGACCGGGAACTGAGCACGGGGACCCCAGCAGCTTATGCCATGCACGGCCATCTAGCTGGTCAGTAAGGCCAAGGCCTGCAGGACTAGGGCAGCACTGAGAAATGGGGGCTATACTCGCTGCTGAGGCCAGGAAAGCAAAACAGAGACTGCCAACCTTGTTATAGTAGTATTTAGGGAGAAAAAAACCACTTAGCCTGCCTTGAAGTTTGTTAAAGATTGAATAGCGTCCACCTAAAATATGTGTTGAAATCCCAACCTCTGCACCTATGAATAGGACCCTGTTTAGAAATAGGGGTATTCTTTTGTTATGTCAATGACACCATACCCGAGTAGGGTGGGTCCTAAACCTAATCACTTCTGAGTTATAAAAAGAATAGAACGGACAGAGACATACACACGGGAAGACAGAAGCCAGAGAATGTCAGGGAACACAACTCCTGGGGCTACTGACAAAAAAATGACCTTCCTCTAGAACCACGCCCTGAATTTGGACTGTTAGCTGCCAGAACTGTAAGAAAATAAATTTCTCCTCTTTAAAGCCACCCACTTGTGGTATTTCTGTTACAGGAGCCCTAGGAAATTAAGACAAAGCTATTCAATGGAAATTGACATCTGCATATGGGCTCTTAGGAGATCTGATGGTGCAGTGATTAAGTACTCACCTGTGCCACATGACAAAGATGTGGCTGTCTGTTTCTGTAAAGATTAACAACCTTGGAAACTCCATGGGGCAATTCTACTCTGCCCTCTACGGTCACTATGAGCTGGAATCGACTCAACGACAATGGGGTTTCTGGGCTCTTAGCTCCTTCAGGACAGCCTCCTCAGCCCTCACAGCTGAACTTCCTTTTTCAGATTCCATCTCCTTTGGCCCATGAATAACAGCCCCCAGGGGAACATTCTGGTCCTTTTAAAGATCTTAACCATGATCTAGAAAATACTGTCTTTTCATCAAGACAAGAATATTCCCTACGCAAGTAAACCCACTTACATACATTTTATCTGTATACTCTTTACTGTTGGGAGGAGCTGCGGGGGAGTGTGGGGTAATCAGAGCAGAGAATGGACATGCCAAGGTTCTACCTTCCGGGTCATCGCGGATCACCAGCAGCCCATTCCGGCACACGACCTTCCCCGTGGTGGCGTCTAGGAATATTAGTGATGGAATGTTGGAAATTCGATATTTGTTCCAAAGTTTAAGCTGTAAGGAGAAAGGTAAAAGAAGGTGGTTAAGTCCAAATCAGATTAATTACACAGTTCTGTTGAGCTCCTCAGGCCCGAGGGTAGATAAACTGGACAGTACTAAGTGCAGAAAGGAAGATTTTGATCCAAAGCAGGGGCTGGCTGGGCTGAAAGGGACTCAGCTAAGCTGCAATCCCACTTGCCCCTGCTGTCTGTAACTGTGCTGGGGACCTTGAGTCTCATCCAGGCTCCAGCCGTGACAGAGGCTGATGGAGGATCTCACCTGTCCTTGGGGTTGTTGTTACCTGCTGTCGAGTCGGCCCGTGATTCATGGCGACCCTAACGCATAATGGAATGAAATGCTGCCCAGTCCTGCATCAGCCCCATGATTGGTTGCAGATTGGACTGTTGTGATCCATGGGGTTTTCACTGGCTGATTTTCAGAAGTAGATGGCCAGGCCTTTCTTCCTAGCCTGTCTTAGTCTGGAAGCCCCACTGAAACCTGTTCAGCATCGTAACAACATACAAGCTTCCACTGGCAGATGAATGGTGGCTGTGCATGAGGTGCATTGGCCAGGAATTGAACCCAGGTCTCCCCATGGAAGGTGAGAATTCTACCACTGACCATCATTGACTCATGCTTATCCTAGCAGGTCTGTTCCCTCTCCTACCTCTCCCAATGGCACTTTCTCTAAACAGCATGAAGATGGATTATGCATCTTTAGAACACAATCAGACCCCTGCCAGGGGATTAAGGAAAGAAGGAAGGGAAGCTTTTCATTAGTGCCTCCCCACTACTCCCATCTGTGGGCACTGGCAGCCAGTTGCTCCCCTGCTTCCTCGCTCTGTGAGGAAAAAGGGACAAGGGTCCCAGCAGAAGACCGAATAGTTAAAACCCACCCCACTCATCACTTCACCAGGTGCCTGCACTTGGAATTCGGCAGTTGTATTGTGTGTGTGCCATTCCACCTACAAAACACTGTTGTTGTTGTTAGCTGCTGTTCAGTCGGTCCTCAACACACGGGGACCCCACGCTTAAGCGAATGAAATGCTGCCCAGTCCTGCACCATCCTCATGATCGGTGCGCATCACACCACTGTGATCCATAGGATTTTCATTGGCAGATTTTCAGAAGCAGATGACCAGTCGGGAAGTGCCGCTGAAGCCTGTTTAGCATAATAGCAACACACAAGCCTCTACTGACAGATGGGGTGGTAGCTGTGCATGAGGTGCACTGGCTGGGAATTGAACCTGGGTCTCCCGCATGGAAGGTGAGAATCCTACCACTGAACCACCACTGCCCCTCTACAAAACACTAGGGAAACAATATCCTGAGCTATCCCCAACCCTCAGCAATCAGTGCCACTCAAAACAATCTTTAGTCTATCGGCCAATTCTTGAGGTTGGCTGTGCAGGTCCAGGGTCTAGGAGCAATAAGGCTGAGAAAACGTAGATGCAACAGCCCCAGGGCCAGAACCCCAGTACTGCAGGCTCTTTTGCTCGCTCACTGCCAGCAGGGTGAAAACTGTTGAGGTGTACCCCTGGGCTCTATGAATTTAACTGCCATTTACGTAAGTAAATGAAATGTCAAACTACCAACGCACCTCCAGAAAAGAAAGAAACAAAAAGCAGCTACAGAATGGCCCCCTAGTTAGGCCATTCAGTCATGAGCCTCACTTCTGCTGGTCCAGACAGGGAGCTGCATGCCTGGGCACTGGCAGAATCGGATGTGGATATGTCAAGGGGAACAGCCCTCGGAAGTCCAGCTCCACACAGCAGAGGGAAGGGAAAGTGTGGTTGTGATTATTATTGTTCCTAATTCAATCCCAAGCAGTGAGGGAGTGGGGCAGGGTATCTGCCAAGAAATGTTAGGTTCCCCTGTCTGTGGAGACCTGGGTCTTGGCAGGAAGGGCTGCAGGACCCCACCTTACATGGGTGGACCCTGCCTTAGCATTGTATGTTTCTCCCAGCCCCGTGTTTTCTGTGGGTTCACAGAACCAGCCTGGGACCTCAGAAAGAGTGACTCTGAACACTCATTTTACAATGACCAATATTGCATCATTCCAGAGAAACCTGATATGGGTTTAGTTTAAACATTCTTCAGAGAAGAGGTTGGGCAACTGAATATGACCATCCTGCTGCTGGGATTAACTGCCCAAGTTTGCGAGTACAAGCATCCAGCCAGGTTAAAAAAGAAGAAAATGACTGTTTGTTTCTGGACCAGCAGAAGTGTTGGCGAAAACTGGGAAGCATAGCAAACCACGAAAAGTGAGATAAAAATCACCCATAACTCACCACTTAGGAAAGCTTAGACCATTTGATATTTCCACCAGCGGCAAATGACAGCTCCCATTTCCTACCATCCTCACCAACACTATCACTAACATTTTTTTTTCCAATTTGATAGGAAAAAATAATATCTCATTTTTGTCGCTTATCTTTTATTTATTGATGTTTATGATGTGTGTGTGTGTGTGTGTATCTGTGGTAAATACATTGTAGTCCTCCCAAAGTATATTTTGCAACTGTTAAGTGTTGGAATTCATTCAACAAATATCAGCTGAGCACGTACTATGTGCCAGCCCTGTCCTAAGCACAAGGGATACAGGGAAGAACAAGGCAGATGAGGTCCCTGCCCTCATGGAGCTTCTATTCTAGTTGGGAAGATGGACAACAAGAGTGTAAATAAATAATTTCAGCCACTTATAAGTAACAGGAGGAAAAAAAAAAACACAGCAGAGTTAAGAGCAAAGGCATGGTTGGTGGAGGGTGGCACACGTTTTAGAGAGAATGGTCTGGAAAGGAATCTCTGAAGAAATGACATTTGAGCACAGACCTCAATAATGAGATGGAGCAAACCACATACACATCAGGGGACACAACCCGAGGCCCAGGAAAGCCCTGCAGAGGCTGTGATGGTGGAGGCTGGGGTGGACAGAGCCAGGGAGGGGGCCGCGATGAGGTCAGAGGGGTACCCAGAGACCGGATCTTTAAGGCCCTGCAGACTACGGAAAAAATATGGAATTTTATTCTAAGTGTAACAGGAAGCCACTGAAGGGTTTTAAGTATGGGAAATGATATGCTTTGGTTTACGTTTTAAAAGACCACTCTGTATATGAGACTAATGGGCACACCAGCCCAAAAGCAAAGATGAGAAGGCAGGAAGCGACAGGAAAACTGGACGAATGGAAACAGGGAATCCGGAATGAAGAAGGGGAGAGTGTTTACACATTGTGGGGTTGGCAACCAATGTCACAAAACAATTTGTGTATTAACTGTTTAATGAGAAACTAATTTGCTCTATAAACTTTCACCTAAAGCACACACACACACACACACACACACAAAAAAAAAAAAAAAACCAAACCACTCTGGCTGCTGAGAAGGAACAGACGGGAGGGGAGGACAAGCAGAGGGCAGGTGACAATCAGGGAGGCTACTGCGAACAGGCCAGGCAGGAGCTGAGAGCAGGGAGGACTTGGGTTATCACAGTAGAGAGAGTCGGACTTTGAAGACACATCCAACAGGGTACGTGAGTCAATAGGGTATGTTGATCGATTGAATGTGGGGGAGGAGGAGAGGAGGGGAAAGTGAAGGATAAGGATGAACTGTAGTTTCGGGGCTTGAACAAAAGTGTGTCAGTGAGTCCCACAACCCAAGATGAGGAATAATGGAGGAGGAGCAAGTTTGAGAGGGAAAAATCAAGATGGGACAGATGAAGTTGGAGATGCCTATAAGATCGACCGACACCATAACTACAACAGTGGCCTCAAACACACCAACGATCGTGAAGATGGCACAGGACTGGACGACAGTTCATTCTGTGATATATAAGGTTGCCATGACTCCGAGTCGATTCAACGGCAACTTACAACAGCAACAATCAGACAAGCAGGTGGAGATATCAAGCGATAAAGACCCCTTGCCTTAGGAGTTCATTTCGGTGCATGTCTTGATTCAACTGGGAGAACTACGATTTTGACCATCTGTATCCCTGCAATTAAAATTTTCTCTAATAATCTCAACATCTGCCTAAAATTTAAGATGATGCAACAGTGAGAAGCGGGTGATAAAAATCTTAGTATACTGCTGCCGCTATGTTCCCACACTCGTTCGGAGCTGATTCTTGCTGCGGCATCCAATTTACCCCTTTGCCTTCCAGATGGTGAGCATCAGAATCACCCAGGATTGACAGCTAACTGCCCTTTTAAAAAAAAAGTATCCTCAAGAAATGAGTTCACATTCTTCCTTGGTGCTATATTAGAACATTTAATCACAGTCAAAGGAGCCCTGGTGGCCCAATGCTTAAGCGCTTGGCTGCTAACTGAAAAGTTGGTGGTTCGAACGTACCCAGCAGCTCCGCGGAGAAAAGGCCTGGCGATCTGCTCCCATAAAGATTACAGCCAAGAAAACCCTATGGGGCAGTTCTACTCTGACACACGCGGTTGCTATGAGTCAGAATCCACTCTAGGGCACCCAGCATCAACAACAATCACAGCCAGGAGCACAAGTGCTTCCTCGTCATCTTAAAGTTCCTCCTTGGGAGGTAAAAGGGCTTCAGAGGGCCCAGGTTTACGTCCTGGTTCTGCCATCTTCTAAATGTTGGTACGTGACATTGTACGAGAATTTGGGCAGGTCACACCCTCTCTCCTAGAACAATAACATCCACATCTCACTGCTTGAATATGAGGTGATGTGTGTGGGGACACTGCAAACTAAAGTACTACACACACAGGACACATCATTAATATCTGAATTAATTTATGCTTATTCCTCCTTGTCTTGTCGGCATCCTTTTAAAAAAAAAAACAAACCATTTTCCTGTCAACTCTATTTTAAAGCTAATCAGTCAGTCCTATAGTTAGTAGGCTGTATATAAAACCATTCAGAGACCAGGGATTTCCTTCTGTAGCGAGTGTTATTTTTGCCATAAGCACCTTCTGCAAAACACACACATACTTTTTGGCCTGTTTTACATGGTCTATTTGCCTCCCCCGCCCCCCCGCCCCTTTACATTTC